CTCCCTGAAGCTCATGATGGGTTTGTAGTTTCTTTAGATCTTAAGCCGTGTGAATGAGGCTGTGCCTAAACTGTTCTTTCCTCTTTCAGATGACCGGTCCTATCAGAGGCCTTCAAACTTGTACTTTCTGGGTGATGTTATTAAAATTGAGGCATCTGTGAAGGTGTACAACCACGTCCCACTGCGTGTGTTTGTTGACTGCTGTGTGGCCACCCAAGTACATGATGTGAATGCTCACCTGAGATTTTCCTTCATTGAGAATCATGGGTAAAGTCATGTCACTATTCTTGCGTGAGTTCTGTGACCACTTGGTCACTGAGAATTAGGGTGCATAACTCAAGTGACAAGGTTTTTTTTTTTTTTTTTTTTTTTTTTAAAGTTCCTCTTGGCAAGTGCTGTTTCTTATCCCTGAGAATCACTGTCCCAATATTCATAATGTCCATCCTACATGGTATGCGAGTAAAAGTGTTCCAAAGCAGTGGATGGTCCATTTCAGGTTAAGTGTGGGTCCGTGGAAACTAATGGCAAAAATTGCCCACAATCTGTTGCCCTTTGGTGAAATATTTGGTTCAGATCTAAAAACAAGAATAAAGAAACCACACATGGTGGATGTGAGGCTAATGGTTAAGTAGAGGATTTTAGACATTTAACCTGGCAACAAGTATTTCTTGTGCCACAATGTCAACCAAATTAAAACTGGTGCAAAGATGGGAGGACAACATCTTGAAGGGTTATTTATCTTACTGTAAGAACCCTTTAATGCTGGCCAAAAATAGTTTCTAACCCTAGTCATGTGTTGTATAATGCATTTGTGCTTCTATCACATTGTGTGTGAATTTCAGACTGTGACAGTTTAACCTTTTAAATAAACACTTGTTTGGCTATTCACTTTTAAATGCATCATGCAAAAATTTGGTAGAGTTCTCTGCTTAGACCCATGGCTGGCAGATCAACATGCTACTTTTCTCTCAATATGGTAGGAAATGCAATGTGGAGAATGTGAACTGAAACTAGATTAACCGTTTAGTGAAAGGGTGCGTGCAAGTATGCAACGGCGTGGTCTGTTAACAAGGCAATTGTATGACGTGAGCGCTTGCCTACTCTCTTACCACACACAACTGTACCTTTTCAGCAAAAGAGTACGTACTTTAAGGGCGTCGTGTAAGTAACCACATTGGAACGCAGCACTGGTCATGACACTTGATGCATGCAGCTGCTCTCACAACTTTGTCCCTGAGAATTAGGGTGAGGTCTAGGGACTTGATGCTACAGAGATGACATTGAGTTCTTTGTCACTACTCATCAGGTGCTTTGTTGATGCCAAGACTACGGCTCCCGTTTCATGCCTCAAACCCAGGAAGACCAGATCCGGTTCCAGCTGGAGGCCTTCATGTTCCAGGGAGAATACAGTCCTGTGCGTACTGTTGAATGAATTTGACTTCTCTTACCATGTGCTTTGGTTTTGTGACCTCTTACGTGTCTCTTGCAGATCTACATAACATTGTGATTGGCAGGACACCACAAGCATTCGTCGGAAATGTAACGCCCCTAACCATAATCGCGAGCTTCATCTTTTAAAATAAATGTAAAGACCGAGCCCGGAAGGGGAACTGTAGCGTGATCAACACCGTGATGACGCTGGTATGTGTTTGCAATACACAAGCCACGGTTAAGATGGCTGACTCCACTGTGGTGTCTCGCTCTCGCAAATGCATCTACTTTCAGAAGGCCAAATAAAGTGCTTTTGCTTTCGCCTAGAAGCAAACAGCGTCTCCCTGACATGGCTGCTTCAGCACTAACTGCGGTTACTGAAACCAAGCCTTTGCGTGCACATTTGGGCTGCATTATGCAAATATTTCCACATGGTGAGGTAGATATGTGGGGGCATGTTAGAACGAGCAGTTTTCAAATATCTTTGGTTGAGACTTTAGTCTTTGCAACTTCAGGAATTTTATCTATGCACAATCAGCTTGTAACATTCCAAAAAGAAAGAAACTTGAAATTGCATCATATGACCCCTTTAAGAACCCGTTGAAGGTGCTGTCTGATTTTTCCTGTTGCAGGTGGTTTGCTGCTGATGGTAACCACCAGGCTTGTGGTTGCTGTGACTCAACATGTGATCCTGATGGAGGAAATGGTGCTCCTTTTGGGGGTAGGTAGCTATTTTAAGATTGCTTTTTGACACTTCAAGTGCTCTACTTAACTTGGGTATTTGCTTTTTCTAGGTGTTCAGTGGGAAGTTAATGCTTCACTCGGTCCTGTAATGGTTCAAGAGCAATGGAAGACTTCAGCTGGTTTTCAGTAAATTGGGGGGGGAACTTATTGCTGGTTTTAAATAAATGGAAAACCTGTTGCCTTTTAGTTTAACCAGTTTCGATTTGAATGTGCTGCCAGTGTGGGGAAACTACCTCTCATGGTAACAACTTAAATTTCTTACAGATGACTGAGGATGAGCTTGTCTACACCTTTGCTCTTACCTACACTCCTGAGGTGTTTGCTGGAACTCTGATTACCCGTGCCGATCGTGCAGTTGTTGGCGTTCAATGCCACTATCAAAGGTAAGTGACGGGTAGTGGTGGAAAGGGTACTGAACAATACTCAAGTAAAAGTACCATTACCTTCCAAAATGTAGTGGGAGTACTGTAAAAGTACTTGTGCAAAAAACTACTTGAGTAAGAGTAGCCTATTAAAAGTACTATTGAGTACTGCAACACTTTTTCACAGCACGCATCATGTGCTCAAACTGATCAAAAGTCATCAAGCAGCAATTACTTATCCAAGTGACCGCTGCAGAACGCACGCGAGAGATGAGGCAGCGCAGATCGTGTGTCTCATAAGTGAGTGGGAATTTACCGACCGTGGCACTTGCGGGAGTGAGTACTTAACATTGTATGCAATACCCACAACCTCACACCAAATTTCAGGCAGTGTAGATCGGCATGTATACAAATCATTTAGTAAGCAGAAATCCGAATTTACATTAACATATTAAGTTAGAGGAAGATGTGACTGAATTGATGCTTGAAGAATGCACTTCCAGCAGCCATTATAAACAATTGGCGGTTAAGGTTTTCTATGCACAATTTGATTTGCCAATCACATTGATGGATAAAAAAAATTTAATTTAAAATAAGCATGTAACTGCCACAAACTGAGGAAAATAGCAGAGTGACAGTACCGATACATCAGTTAAAATGTACTCGTGTGAAAGTACACTTTTTAAACTACTCAAAGTATAATTACTGATAAACTAAATTACTGTAACGTGAATATTTGTTACTTCACACCCCTGGTGACCGGATGTGATTTTTCAGCACTGTTTATTGTGATGTTGCAACTGGAAGTGTTTATTTGGTACCTACTTGAACTGCAGGTTCTATAATGTGAGCAGTGATGCTTTGAGGCCAACTTGGGTCCCTTATGCCTCAACGGAGTTTGGTGTGGAAGTCTTGATGTTCTCCCTGAAGCTCATGATGGGTTTTTGCAGTTTCTTTAGATCTTAAGCTGTGTGAATGAGGCTGTGCCTGAACTGTTCTTTCCTTTTGCAGATGACTGGTCCTATCAGAGGCCTTCAAACTTGTACTTTCTGGGTGACATTATAAATATTGAGGCATCTGTGAAGGTGTACAACCACGTCCCACTGCGTGTGTTTGTGGACCGCTGTGTGGCCACCCAAGTACCTGATGTGAATGCTCATCCGAGATATTCCTTCATTGAGAATCATGGGTAAGGTCACGTCACTTTATTCTTGAGCGAGTTCTGTGACCACTTGGTCACTGAGAATTGGGGCGAGTCAAGTGACAAGGTTTTTTTTTTTTTTTTTTTTTAATTTTAACTTCCTCTTGGTAAGTGCTGTTTCTCATCACCTGAGAATCACCATCCCAATGTTCATAATGTCCATCCTAAATGGTACGCGAGTAAAATAAGTGTTCCAAAGCAGTGTATGCCAAAAGTCCCTGTATGGTCCATTTCAGGTTAAGTGTGGGTCCGTGGAAACTCTAATGGCAAATGTTACCCACAATCTGTTGCCCTTTGTTGAAAGATTTGGGTCAGATCTAAAAACCTGAATAAAGAAACCACGAACATGGTGGATGTGAGGCTAATGGTTAAGTAGAGTATTTTACATTTAGACATTTTAACCTGGCAACAATTAATTTGAAGTTGTATTTCTTGTGCCACAATGTCAGCCAAGTTAAAACTGGCGCAGAGATGGTAGGACAACGTCTTGAACGGTTATTTCTTACTGTAAGAACCCCTTAATGCTGGCCAAGAATATAGTTTCTAACCCTAGTCATGTGGTGTTTAATGACTTTGTGCTTCTATCAGATTGTCAATACAAGGTCCCAACATTGAGTTGAGTGATTTTAAGATACTTTGGTACACCAGGCTGTCCTAGAACTGAATAAGGTACACGTGGGGGGGGGGAACCCTGAAGTTTAATTGTATGGTCTGTCTATTGTGAACAGTTTGTAAAGCTTTAGTGTGCAAGAAACCCTGTTACGCAGGAAATTTCAGACTTTGTCTGACAGTTTATCTAACCTTTCATAAACATCCGTTTGGCTAACTTTTAAATGCATCATGCAAAAATTTGGTAGCGTTCTCTGCTTAGACCCATGGTTGGCAGATTAATGTGCTACTTTTCTCTCAATATGGTAGGAAATGCAATGTGGAGGATGTTAACTGAAATGAGATTAACGGTTTAGTGAACGGGTGCGTGTAAGTATGCAACGGAGCAGTCTGTTAACGATTCAATTGCATGATGTGAGAGCTTGTCCCAAAGCTTGCCTACTCTTCTACCACACACCCAAAACCGTACCTTTTCAGCAAAAGGGTACGTACTTTAAGGGCATAAAGTAGCCACATTGGAACGCAGCACGGGTCATGGCACTTGACGCATGCAGCTGCTCTCACAACTTTGTCCCTGAGAATTAGGGTAAGGTCTAGTGACTTGATGCTACAGAGATGACCATGAGTTCTTTGTCACTTCTTATCAGGTGCTTTGTTGATGCTCTCGCTTCATGCCTCGAACCCAGGAAGACCAAATTCGGTTCCAGCTGGAGGCCTTTATGTTCCAGGGAGGATACAGTCCTTCTGTAAGTACTACGTGTTGAATGAATTCGACTTCTCTTCCCATCTGCTTTGGTTTTGTGACCTCTTACCTGTGTCTCTTGCAGATCTACATAACGTGTATTGTGAAGGCCACTCTTGCTTCTGCACCCAGTGATGCTCTCCGCATATCCTGTTCCTTTTCCAACGGGTATGTTCATGCTACTTAAGAACACGTTGACGGTGCCGTCTGATTTTTCCTGTTGCAGGTGGTTTGCTGCTGATGTGAACCACCAGGCTTGTGGTTGCTGTGACTCAACATGTGGTCCTGATGGAGGAAATGCTGCTCCTTTTGGGGGTAGGTAGCTGTTTTAAGGTTGCTTTTGACCCTTCAAGTGCTCTAACTTGGGTATTTGCTTTTTCTAGGCGTTCAGTGGGAAGGCAATGCCTCACTCGGTCCTGTAATGGTTCAAGAGCGACAAGTTTTCAGTAAATTGGGGGGGACCTATTGCTGGTTTTCAATAAACGGAAAAACCTATTCTTTGTCTAGTTTAACCAATTTGGATTTGAATGTGCTGCAGGTGTGGGGAAACTGGTAGTCCTACTCTACCTATTTGTAGAAGGAAAAGCTCCCTTTTCTCAGTAGGGAAATATTAACTTAAGCTTTAAAGATAGACCTACTGTGAACTTGGTTTAAGCTCAGTTTAAAGAATTAAGTGGCGTCCGTAGCCCATATAAATTGTTCTGCCAATCGGAGTCTCTGCCACATGTTCTACTAAAACGCCCACTTCCCGGAAGCACTGCAGATATTTTGTATGCATCTTATGTTGAGTACTTACTGCTTTCTATATGTTAGTAACTGCAAATGAGTGGTTTTATTTCTCCTTTCATCACCAAATATAATTTGTCACTTTTATATTTGCTTCCCAATATGTCTTGCCTGTCTTCTGGATCAGGGTGGGGACCTGCTGGTATAGGCATGTTAAAAGCCCACTTCCAGGTTTCAACTGAAATTCCCGCTTTTTGGAATTTTCACTCAGTTGGGTTACGGTCTCATGCATTATAACTTGGGGAAAGTGGCATGCGTGTCGAGTTCGGTTTTATAGGTAGTGTGCTAAACTTGCAGAACCTGTACTGTTGTATGGGGTTTTGTGCAGTAAATTGCTTAAAATAAAAAATTGAAAAACACAAAGCATTGACCAACACAAATTGAAACAATATCGTCTGGTATTAAAGGGGTGGTTAATCCAAAAATGACAATTACCCCATGATTTACTCACTGTTAATACATCCTAGGTGTATGACTTTCTTTCATGTGATGGACTGAGAACAGTCGGTTTTATATTGTAAAGTTTTGGCTGTTCTCAGCTTTATAATGGCAGTGACTGGGTGATATTCAATTGAAGTCCAATAAACTGCGTCCATCCATAAAAATGTGCTCCACAGGTCTGGGGGGTTAATAAAGGGCTCCTGAAGCGAATCCATGTGTAGTTGAGGATCCATGTTTAACTTCATAATGTAATCTTTAGCTCCCGCTAACTGATGTGTTCACTAGACCGTGGAGTTCCAGCTGGTATGTACAGCAGCATATGCTTCGGTGAGAATGTTAGTCTCAAAAACCAAGTTTTGTTTAGAGAAGCAAAGTTTCCTTTGTCTAGCAAAGGAAAACCAGTCTCCTGTTGGCTTATATTGACAATCGCTGACTTTTTTTTTTTTTTTTTTTTTTTTTTTTTTTTTTTTTTTTGTTCTTTACAAATCCTTGTTTTGTACTTCTGAATCGTGACCGGTGTTTTGTTTTGCTCACTCCTGTGCATGTCGGTGTTCGTTGCCTCTCACTGGAGATTACACTATGCCTACATCTGCCACTCTCATGGACATGCATACATCAGTTAGTGTAAGCTAAAGGTTATGGTTTATAAAGATTTAAATATGGATATTTCTATTCCAAATACACATCGATTTACTTCAGGAGGCCTTTAACCCCCTGGAGCCATGTTTCAGTATTAATATCATTACTTTCAGTTTAGGATGATTGACTCATTTTAACTCTTCAAGATCAACAATTTGTGTTGTATTTTTGATCAAACAATCTGCATCTCATCTGGATCCGGATAGAAACATGCACAGATCAAGTACTCTTTACAAGCTAGCATTGTGGATATTTTGGCCAGAAATAAGTTTGAAGTTAAAACATCTTGATGCATTTGTTTCTTATAAACATGCTTTTCGCTTCACAAGACATTAACTGATGGACTGGAGTGGTGTGGATTACTTGTGGACTATTGTGATGTTTTTATCAGATGTTTGGACTCTCATTCTGACGGCACCCATTCACTGCAGAGGATCCACTGGTGAGTAAGTGACACAATGCTACATTTCTCCAAATCTGATGAAGAAACAAACTCCTCTACATCTTGGATAATCTGAGGCAAATGTTCAGACCATAATGTTCAGAAATCAAGCACTGCTCATGTAAAATCTCTCAGGAACTAATCTGTAAGTCAACCTCTTTTCCTTCTCAGGTAATTGCAACACATGCCAAATGTGTAGTTTCATCACATCAAAACACTGGGAATAATTAGGAAGATTTTGGGTCTTTCCAGCAGCCACTCATTTCAGTCTCCCACCGGTAAGCTAAACGCTACATCACGGTCTGTGTAACTGATGTGTTCAGCAGTGATAAAGGTTGTTATCTTCCTCATCCACCTCACAGATGACCCAGCGAGGGGCCAGACACGAGATGATTGTTTGTGGCATTGATGTAACGTCTAGAAGAGCTTCAGTCTGTAATTATGTGAAGTGCTCATGAAGGAGACAGACACGGTGAAGATAAATGTTCCCCGGCGCAAAGTCTGATGAAAAATGGTCTCTGTAAATATAAGCTGTAACCATAAAAGCATTCAGAAACATCCAAACCAAAGATCTGATGAAGCTTCTCTGTATTGATTCGGGAGGTCCTCACCAGCTCGAGTTTCTCCAGCCTGAGCATTAAACAATAGCAGCGTTTATGTGGTTAACTCCTGCGTATCGCGTTGCATCAAATACTGCAGATACTTGCATGACCAATACTTATTTATACTGTAATTTTACTGAGCTTAGTCTTTATTTACTTTCATTGCAGGTCTGGTTCTCATATGCGCTTAGTAATAAAGATACATACTAATATCTCGTTGAAGACACTGGGTTTCTTCAGAATGGCGTACTAACTTTTTTTTTTTTTTTTTTTTTTTTTGCAAGCTAGAAGTAATCTGTGTGAAAATAAATTGTGGCTATAAAGTAAGTCATAAGTTAAGAGATATAATTGTGATTTATATTTCTAGTTTATTCATCAAACTGAAAATGGAAGGCTCATGCAGGGAGAAACTGCTGAAATAGAGAATGTAATTTTTACACAACTGTTTCAAAAATGCAGAATAATGTTTATTTGATAAGTGGATGCAACATGGATGTAGTAAAGCAGTGAGTTTGACAACAATAGAACATGATACATTTAGAAATCTTTATCTGTGTATTGTTTAACAATATTTGAAAGTAGTATTTAATTCGCATATGATTTTGAGGACATAACAGGCAAGATACAGTATATACTGTACGGTATGCAGTACAATAGTATTCCATTTTAAACATAACCAATATCAAGTCCACTAGCTTCGTCCTAACCTTTGGTCAAAATGCCTAAAGATATTTTACATCTGGATAAAAATGTGGAAATTAAGTATTTATTTCTGAAATTATATCTTTACAGTGCTTGCTGAATGCAATGAACATGCATCATGATGTTCATGTGACAACAATGCAACATACTGTTTGAAATGTTTATTGTCATGTAAAAAAAAAAAAAAAATTGTATGCAGTAAACCTTAAGTAAATTCATAACATAGCAATTATCATAATCGTTCTAAGTATAGACTCCAAGCCAATTTTCCAAAGAATTATTTGAAATCTTTTGAGTATTACAAGATATGAAATGTGTGTGTATTTATTGAATTATATTTATGCTATATACCAATATAGTCTAATATCAGGGTTATTATTGTTATTAAAAAGTTACTTGAAACAAAATAAACATTAACTGAAATAATAATAAAATATATAATCTGCATTAAACCAATGTTTGATAATTAACTTATTTTATTTCAGCTATAACATTTCTCATTTTCATTTACTTTTAATTTGAAGTACTAAAAGTAATAAAACTATATGGACATATAAAAAAAAAACTACTAAAACAACAAATTACTAATATTTTAGCTAAAATTAAAGTGAAAACAGGAAATATAAAAACAAAATCTAATTCAAAATATTTAAAAAAAAAACTATAATATGTTAATGATAATACAGTGTGTATATATACAGAGGCAGCAAAAAAAAAAAGATAGTATTTACGGATATAAGATATTACTCAGACTTAACCTCTAGGGAGAGGTGGGTAACCGTCATAATTTGAAGGGGAAGGTAAACCGTGAAAGATGAGCTTTTTGGCTTAATGCCCCATTACACAGAATATATTTTCATATCAAGTGAAATGTGAGGTTTGAAAAACATCATCACAGTGAAGCTTCCATCACTTCGAGGAATAATGGAGCACAGCTCCTCTGCGTCCTGTGTGTGTGAGAAACTGAAGATCAGGAGAGAAAGCTCAGAGCACAACGTGTGTTTGTGATGAATGACGGGGTGAACACAATGTCATGTTATTCAAACGGCCGTATTTCATATCCTGACTAGACCACACAGAATATTGTGTTTCCAGTGACAATGCTCGCGCTGTAACCTCACACCACTCCAGTAACTGTTTCTCCAGCATTAGCATTTTGCATGTCATGTATTTAGCATATATGTGTTTTTAACAATTACAGATTTTTTTTTTGGTCGTTTGTTTGTGGACTTTGAGATCAGGCGTGCAAAAGGTAAGCAGCAACCTTATATCATTACTATTGAATATATTTTATATAATTTCTAAATTTTTATATAAATATTTGTATAAATAAATTGTCAGTTTACAAAATGTGTCATTTAATTTCTATATATATTTATATATTTCTTTTGGAAATCGTATATAATCATCTTTTATATATTTTTTTAAATATATTAAATGTCATCTCATTCCCACATTTATTTATATAATTTAGTTTATTTATTTTTTATATATTGTTTCTTTTTTTATTATTATTATGCATCATCATCATCATTGTTTTTTGGAGAATTTTTGTATTTTATTATGTTTAAAATATTTCATTTAATTTAAATATTTTTAATTATTATTGTTTTGTTTTTTTTATATTTTATTATATTTTTGGAATTATTATTATTATTATTATTATTATTCATAGTAGTAGCATTTATAATTTTATGTAAAACATTTAATGTGTTCCATAATTTATATATTGTCAGTTTACAAAACTTGTCATTACATTCCAATATATTTATATAATTTATTTTATTTTTTAAATATATGTTTATTTATTTTTATTTATATATATATATATATATATATATGTATGTTGTTTGTTTATTTATTATTACTAATAATCATCATTCTTTTATTTGTTTGTTTGTTTATTGGATACTGTCAACTCCAAAACGTTGCTCTCCAGGGTCTGTTTACAGCTTCTAGTGTCCATTTGTCACTCAGTGGAGTTCAGCAGATGGAATGCCGCCCCAGAGTTCAGCCAGGAACCTGTTATCAGTAACGGCCTGATGCATCAATCCATTGTGTCTCGTCAGAGCCTTTACATGACTGGAGGAATGTGTCTGATGAAGAACATGGACACTCTGATGCCGAGGAGGGATCCTGCACAGACGGACAGAGACAGTGCTGCCGTCTGATGAGTGTGAAAATGATCATAAATCTATCATCACAAAACCCACACCAAAACATTCAGAGGTTAATCAGAATAGAAGAGCTTGTTTGTTTTAATCTTACATGAAAAAGACGGATATTATTTTTTCCTTCTAGTAGTGATGTGTCACATTGTGCTCAGAATTGAAACCAAGGTCAGCAATCAAAAGCAGAGATAAACAAACATTTCTCATCGAATTCTTCCAAGATCAAATGATCTGAGCTGCTCCACATTGATTTTTTTAGCTCCCAACCTAAAAAAAAAAGGTAAAAAATGTGTCAATAGTTGTCATACAGTAAGAGAGTTGACTATTAAATTCAACTTAGAAATCCTAAATAAAAAAATAAAAAAAGTTTAAGCACAATAACTCATTAATCAGTAACTTATTAATCAACGTTTAAAAGTTATGTTTAGTCTCTTCTTTTTTCTTATTTATATTTCCCTCTCTTTTCTTTTAGTTTTTCATATGTATATGTATTTGTTCTACTACCATGATATACATATCATTTTCATGGTACATAAAAAAAAGAAAACAACAACAACAAAAAACATGGTACTCTTTGTAAGATCTTTAAAACATTATACACTGAAAAAAAAAAGTTGTAAATAAAGATTATAGGAGTCAATTTTACAAGAAAGTGCTATTTCATATTTTCAATTTCACATTTTCAGTGGGTTTTTTAAAATTGTAGCATTGTATCAGAATGACAATGTAACCATGTTTACATGTCAAATGCGCATCACAACTGATTTACGGCACAATCTGATCCCCCTAAAATGTCTATGCCGTATGTTTTGGCACTTTTTGTGCTTTATCTGTGTTTTTGAATGAAAATATCATTGTATCAGAATGACAATGTAACCATGTTTACATGTCAAATGCGCATCACAACTGATTTACGGCACAATCTGATCACCCCTAAAATGTCTATGCCGTATGTTTTGGCACTTTTTGTGCTTTATCTGTGTTTTTGAATGAAAATATATAAAAATAAATGTTAAAATCATTAAGAATTAAAAAAATCAATGGAAAAATGTAGCACTTTGTGACAGTATGTCAATCTGTTCCCCTATAAACATCAAAGACAAGCTGCCATTAATTAGCATATCAATGATTTGACCCCCACAGTCCATCTCCACCAATCACCTCACAGGTGTCAGTCCTCACTCGTCTGGCTGCTCATCTAAAGCTGATCGGCGGCTGTTTAAAAGGCTCCGTCTGAGCTGTGAGTTCTGTTTGATTGTGCTGCTTACATTAATGATGGTCTGTGTGATTCGCGGGCTCTTGTTTTTAATGTTAAGTCTCTCTTCTCTTACTTTTATAGACACAAAATGTTAATGTGCAAGAAAAGCTGTTTTTAAGTTCGATGGGCCTCTCCAGTGCCGTCTCTGTTGTGGGAAATGTTCAAGAAGGGCAGCAAACAGACTTCAACACCTGACACAGATCCATGTGTAGTGTCGGAGTACAGAGTCCGAGGAAATATCGTGAGGTTCATCCAGGATCAAGGTGAGGCCTTGAGAATTTAGGTTTTAGTATGCAGTTTATTTCCCCATCATATGCCATATTTTTTAAAGAACCTTTTTTTTCCCGACAATTTTCACAATGAGTGAATTTTAAGTTAAAGTTATGCCATGTTCTTTCTTATATTTTCCTTTCAAAAGCATGTTTTCTTAGTAATCAGTTCAGTTTTTCCATCATGTTAGTCTTTTTACAATCCAGTTTCTTTGACATCATCCTCCAGGAAGTGACATTATTGCCGGTAGTATCAGCAGTGTTTTTAATTTAATGGAAGAATTTAAAATAAAATTGTAATTAAAAAAAACTTTTGGAGGTCTTTTATAGAAATAACTAGGCAAGACACAACATGCAAAAACATTTTTTTTCATACATTGGTTAATTTTGAGATTTTGGCCTCTTTGGATTTTCATAACTTGCTACTTTTTATAGTAGTTATAAAACATCCAAAATACATCTTTAAGTTTTTATTCTGTTGA